ATAAGTTTTTACAAATCAGTTTGAAAGAGAAGTGTAGTGTTCTTTTATCATCATTCAAAATGTGTCAAAAAAAAATGTTCAAGCTGCATATAAATGAACACAAAATTGGCACTTGTACTATAAAGAAATATGTCCCAAAAGAATATGCTGTAGCAGAAACTCACCATCAGTATGTTTTTCAATGAGGTACACATGAGGAATGTGAGCCAGCTTCAGCTTTCCACAAAACTCCCCCAGTTTTCTTGTACTCTGTCTTCTTTACAGGACTTAAAGCTCCATATCAAATAACAGCCCTGTTTCATCTCTCAGGCAACTTATCTTCCAGAAGCACGGGGAATTCAAATGTCTCACATTTACATCTACAATTCCCATGCTGATAATGCGCAGACATATTCTAAAAGCATTTGATCACATCTTGATGGCCATGGTTTCAAGTCTATCCACTTATTCATGGATGTGGCTTTCAACCAGTCAAAAGTTGCATGGGCTGCATCTGGGAGCCCATTGGCATGTTGTGTGTGACAGTGGCAGAGGTATATTCTGATGGGGATTCTTATTTGTCTGGAAAATCAATATTTTGCAGAGGCTTTCTTAATAATGCAACACAGCAGCAGTCAGACCTCAGAGAAATTGTAACAGCTGAGATTGCTCGAGTTAGTTCAAGTTTACTTGATTTTCAGTGCTTTAAATGGATTTCAATCAGATTCAGAATGCGAAGGAAAGTTTAAAAAGCATCCTGAGAAAAAAGGTGGGATTTTAGGGAGAAATTTCAATCAGGCTTCTGAAAAATCTCATCTCAAGGTTTTGATGCTGAGATACGATGTGCTGATGTGTTATATAATATTTAGACTGCAGTATTTTTAAACCATGAATGTCAGCTTGGCTGAGCCAAGCATATTTTTTGTGTTTTATGGATCAAAATAACTCCTGTTTGAATTGAAACAGATATATTCAGTCATCAGAGGGAAGAAGAGAGAGAACTGATAAGGAGGAAAATCAGCTGTTCCTTTCAAAAAACAAAGCAAACAGTGTGATGGTAGACACCTGTTTCCAAAATATTTCATTATGGCACAGTTTGGGACTGTCTGATGTAAACACTAATTATAGCCGTTGGTGGTCCAGGGCTGAATACAGTCTGACGGAAAAACCTACCTTGCTTATCATGTTTTCCTCACAGGATACAGGGAATAGCATTTAACAGCATGTGAGCTTGGGCACCTGAATGCTTTTTCTGATGCCTGTGCAGGGCAGACGCTCTATGCCTTAAGCTGCTGTTACTGTACCAGTGTAACACTTGAGAGGGAGAAAAATGCTCCCAAATGACACCTGGTTCTTTGTCTAAGATAAAACAAAATAATAGTGATTATGCATTAAAAATCTTACGGTTCACCTGAGGGCAAGCATTGGCTCATTAGAGCAAAGGATCCCTACTCCTGAATGAAGGCAGTCAGTCCTATCAGTCCTGCAGATGCATACAGAGCAGTATCCAATTCTGCAATCACACAGTGGTAGACAAACTTCTTAGGAGGAAAGGTAAGAGAAAGTTTGGAACATCTGCTTTATCCCTCAGGCCAAGGTAACATCACTGAGACTTTTTGGTGTTCAGACCTGCCTAGAAATATCATAGTAGGAGCTCTGGTAGCAGAAACAGTCTTTATCTCATCTGGGATATAGAGTTATTTGAGAATGAGCAGAGGATAAGTTTGCCCTGTATTTTGGACTCTTGCAAAGGGGCTGTGTAGCATAGATTATAATAGTTTCTGGGACCTTAAGGTAAGATTTGGTTTATTTGTTTATAACCTTCCTTATCACTATGAAATTAACAGGTAAGATAACTGGGAGCAGGAGGTCCAGTTACCTCTCTACTCAGGTTGCTATGGTTTTGGCTCCAGAAACATAGTGTTCATCATTCTTCTTTGTGGAGTCACTTCTGATAATGTCTGGTTTGTTGACCCTACTTTTCATGGTAGAATATATTTTGGTGAGTACTGCTGAATCACAGGAGCCTACATGAAATGGTGTTCATTTCACTGGGCAGTGAATAGTTTTACTCTCTCCTTCTACATATTTAAGTATGTGAAGATTCATTCCAGCACATATCCACAGGTTGCCTGATCTTTCTTAATTGAAGAACACCCCATGCAAAAAGTCATTTAGGACTTTAACAGATGAACTTCTTTATTTAGGCAAAAGCAGTCTTGTTATCTGCCATTTTGCAGCTGATGGGAAAGCTCTGAAGGGAGCATTGGCATTATCTGTTTGACAGTGGTTTGATGCAGTACTACACTGCTCTATAAATTAGTGTCAAGAAACAAAATGCTGATGATAGGGGCCCCTCTATGCACTGGTGACTTAAATAGCATGTTTCTTTAAAATTCAGCAGTGACTCACTCTCTTTTAAATAAAACCCCTCTGAGCTATTTAAATAATGCCATGGAGCTCTAGCGCATATTTCCTTTGATTCTGAGTACTTCAGTGTTTACTTGAATAACTATCCAAACAAGCTTTTGAGCATCATAGTGATTAATACCTTGAAGCATATTACTTTGTGCAGAAATATTTTTTTAAAGAAATGTTTGAATATTAAGTCCAACAGTTGGATACTTTTTGCTCATTCTCTACAATAAGCAGAATTGAAGGTGAAAGTGGTTTTCTGTTCTTTCTTGGACATGATAACAGACATAGCTAAAGTCCTGAGTGGCATTTTAAATTTATTCAGCACATTTCAGGACTCTATTTTAGTTTCTTTCATGCAACCAAATAGGCATTGATTAAAGATAATTTCCCATGGTTGCTGGAATCAATTTGCTCTTGGATTCCACACCCTACAGGCACACACTGACTAAGCACTGCTATACTCACTGGCACCATCACAGTTTAACCAGCTGAGGATTCAGACACATGGATTTGGAGTGCTGTCTTTGTTGTAGTTTTATGTGTTGAAGAACATTGCTGATGACATAAAAGATTTTCTCCAAGTTCCAAATGAAATGTTCTAGTTCTTTTTATCTAGGCAAACATGTAAATATGTCAGCTTTGTTCTGCCTTTATAATCCCTGTACACACATGTTGGACACTTTCAATGCTCTTACGGATTGAAGGCATTCCCAAGACAGTGCTATTGAAAAAGAAGTTATTGCTGACGATGATCTATTATATTCTGCTAATAACTCTCTACCACAGGTGTTATCTACATATTGTGGGATATAAAGAAGCAGAAGCAGTCCTCAAAAAGAAGAAAATACACCTTGTCTTTTAGGATATTTAATAGCAGAGTACACTCTTTTTTTTTTTTTTTCAGAACAAACCAAAGATTTTAGAGCAGTATCTTTCAAAACTGGGCCTTAACAGATGACAAACAAATCCCTCCCAATCCCAAGATCTTCCCATCATCTATAACTTCATCTTGTTGAGTAAAAAACTTGTGAGATGGCAAATGAGCTCTGAAGCAAAGTGAGGGAAAATGATAATGATCTCGGAGAGGAAGAATGCCCCCCTATTGAGGACATATTATGAAGAATGCCTCTTTTAGCTAGCCCAGAAGTTGTTACAGGGCTTCTAACCTGAACATCTCAGGTCATTCAGGCATACAGACAGAGGCTGGAGAAAAGGACATTTCAGATAACCGTCACCTAAGCTGATAAAGGATTTATAATTTTAAAATAATGTCCTACTCTGCACCTGGAAAGGAAATGGAAGATACCATCATTAACTGATCTTGGGTGTAAAATATCTTGTAATAGGCTGGCCATTTCTTTACCAATTCAAAGTCACTGAAAGAGAAGCATTAGTCATAATCTGACAGAAACAAGTCATCACTTTGGCATAATCTGTCCTTCAGGTAGAAAATCCTTCCTAAGTATAAATTGTGGTTCAAACAAAAACTGAAGTAATAATTGCCCTTGTTCCATGCCAACTCCAATTGTGAACAATAGCATGTCCTAAAACTCACATGTGTTTCAGTGTGGAGGAAAATCTAACTACTTGTCACTTCCAGGCTAAGCATAGGTAGCTGACTAATGACAAAACTGTTTCTCTGCACTTTCATATAGGCAGAATTCTTTGTTTATGCCAACAGTTAAACAACCCAAATCATCCCCATACCACTCATATCAAAGTGAAAAGGATCAAAAGATGAAAATGAAACATTGGGCTGGGTGCACTTCTACATGTTCTATCTATGAAGCAGGACCGTATTCCTGCTCGAGAGCTCTCCTTTGTCTTTAGCATTGACTTACTCTAGTTTTTATATACTGAACAAATAAGTTGTCTTGTGATCACTGAACTCAAATAATTCCTTGGGAAGAAACAAAGAAATATTTCACAATGAGCATCTGTTCAGTGGCAGTAGTGAGGGTCTGAATTTGATGGAGTTAGGAGAATAAATACAGAAAAAGATATCAAGGTAAAGAAGAGAAGATAGGTGAGGACAGAAAGGAAGCAGGAAGAGATAATACAAGAAAGGAAAATCAAGGGGATAGGAGATAAAAGCATAACAGAGGAGTCATATGAATCAAATCCTCAGATGCCTGAGAGCGGCTGCTCACAATGCCACTTGTTTTTATTAATCCACGTTGATTATGTAGCACTAACAGCAACTCTGTTGTGTTACTGCTGTGACTAGAGGCAAAACACAGACACTATGCAAGTCTTTTGAAGGAAAGAGATTGTAAATGGGTGCATTCAGGACAAGGCAATGAGTTATATTTCTTGCTCAGCTGTTTTCTCCTAAGATCTTGTTTCCCTCTCTACATTAAGTGTACAGTTGACACAGCCAGTAATTCCAGCCTTGTAATTGTTTACCCACTGGTCTGTCCCTGTTTTGTACAGCATTGTGACTAAATCAGACTGTCACAGGTGTGGGAGGGAGGGTTCACTCCTCTCTCATCTCCCAGTGCAGAAGTAAAGGGGATTAATATTTTTCCCTTTGTCCTTCTACCGTTAGTAACTCCCAGAAGATCAACATTTCTTCCCCACACTCCCACATTAGCAAACTTTACCTAAGGGTTTCACCAGATGATCCCCTTCGTTTCCATAGGTTGACCAGGCTGCTTGAGCGGCTTGCAGCTGAAGATGACTTTCCATCCCCTACGTGCATGCGGACCACTGTTGATGTGGTGAATGCGCTGCGGACGTTTCTTTCAGGCTTTGCAAGGATGATATACACCTTGGGCACAAACATACAGCCGAGGGCCACCGTGGCACTCAGACTCACCGAGAAACACATCGTGATTATCTTGTAGTTGCTTCCAAAATATATTGGCACAAAAGCCAGCCAAATGATGCAGGTGGTATACATTGTAAAGGCAATATACTTTGCTTCATTGAAATTAGCTGGGACATTTCTTGTCTTAAATGCATAAAAGGTGCAACTCAAAATTAATAATCCATTATATCCAAGGGGAGTTACAACACCCAAGTTGGTGGTGTTACAAATCAGGTAGACCTCTCGGATGCTTGGGTAATCATGCATTATATCTGGTGGCTCCATTATAAAGAGGGCAACAATTATGCCTAATTGTATACATATCAAGATAAATGCAATAACCAGTTGGGCACAGGCACTCATGAACCTAGGTTTCTTTGTACAAATTTTCTTCTTGCTTCCAGCCAGGATTCTTGCTATGCGGTTAGTTTTAGTTACTAGAGCAGAATAACTCATAGCTGGGGAGAGGCCGATGCCAATTCGCTGCAGATAACAGTAAATCTGTTGAGGTTTTGCGATGAGACAGAAAGTGCACAGGTAACCCAAACAGATGCCGGCTAGAATGATGTAGCAAAGTTCTCGGCTGGATGATTTGACCACTGGAGTATCACGGTACATTATGAATATAGCTGTAACAAACAAGGTGGCCAGCAGACCCAGACATGCAAAAACAACTGCTGCAATTGGTTCAGGATCACCCCATCTGAGATACTGGACTGGGATGAGGTCACAACCTAGAGAAAAAGGAAAAACAAAAGTTAACAGAAGTATGTAGGAGTGACATTCCTTAATGTTATAGCTACATAGGCTTTCCTGCTATTTCTCTTCTTTTTCTCTTTCAGCCTTTATGCTATGTGAGCACTGCTTAATAGTAGCCAAAACACTGGTGTGTTGTCAACAGCCTTCTAGCTACCAACAAAAAGCACAGTAGTATAAGGGCTGCTACAGGGAAAATTAACACCATCTCAACCAGACCCAATACAATAGAAATAAAGGCAGAGGACCTAGATGCTCTGGAGTGCAACTTGCTGACAACAATAGACATACTGGCACTGCCAGCCAGGGCAGAACAGCTGGAAGGAGATGATGGAGTGGAGGAAATGCAACTAAAAGCTTTAATTTCTCCTATACTTGTACTAAGCTTGACTAACAATGACTGCAAATTCTAAATGACCTCAAAATTTGTGACTGTTGTAATCAGTTTGCTATCTTCTGGTTAGGTCTGACAATGTCTGTCAACCTGACTCAAGGTGGGTCATGGCAAGGCACTTCACCCCATGAGGATGGAGCATCGTGTGCTCATATCTGTATTTTCAGTGGTGAGGGTAATTACTACTGTATGATGGCTATCTGGATGCCAGGCAATCTCAGTTAATTAGGGAACTTGGGACAACAATGATGAACTTGACCTGATGAACAGGAGTAAACGTAGATGTCAGGACTATAATTTGGGAATTCCTACATGCAAGGTCTACTCTTTGTCTTTTCCTTTATTTTTAAGTAGAGATTAAATGTTTTCCAAATCTGACACTGACATTCTCAGTAGTAGTATAAATCATTTCATGAAAAGGTATGGGTAGAAATTAGGCTTAGATCCTCTCATCTCCCAGTATATCTCTATCCTACATCTCTTCACTATTAATATTATCAAAAATACAGTAGCTACAATGAGGTGGTATACTCAATAGGTTGTATGGCAAAAGTACAAGATGGATAGTTCTGTATTCTTGCAGAAAGCAGAAAAAGCAGAAAGATAAGGGTCAACAAGTCTTTGATATCAGTGGAGTTAAAGGATACAAATTTGCAGTCACACCAGTGTAACGAAATTGTGCTTTTCATTACTAAATCAACATTAATTTGCCATCCATATTTTAACTGTTTTACCGTGCAAAGCTTTCTGTTGTGATAATGAAATTATCACCATGTCTTAATGTAACAGACATCCGCATTTTTATGAAACACTCTTATAGCATTAGTTGATCATAGTTATTTGACTCTTGTTGAATTTAAAGAGTTTACTTATTCATTGTGAAGAGGACACTGTATTTCATTCTGAGTCCATTAAGATTAATGTAGCACAGGAACCATGTAATTAAAATCAACTTTTTATACCAATGAAAGTGGTGGAAGAAAAGTGAACACCAGAAAGCATACCCTGGTGTGTGCAGATATCCCCATATGGGTTCTTCCCTAAGAAGTTTTATGGGTAACTGACCTCTAAATCTATTTTCAGTTTTACCAAAATGCAATTAATATTTTGGTGAAACAAACTGTTACCAGCTTCTAATACTGCTATATGTTCTTGGATGGGAAACGTGAAGAGAAAAGTTCATTATCTGACAGTTGGCCTTTACATACAGCACAATGATATAGGGGCTGAATTTTGCTCAGTTTCTAATGTTGCAACAGATGTGAATCATAAGCAAGCATTTCTCATTAGTTTCAGTCTATTTCATGCCTTCCTTGCTTTATTACTCTTTTTACATTCTCTTAATAAAATACCTGAGAAAAGAGTCGAAAACTTGTCCCATTTTTCCCCCCATTTCTGGGTATAATTTACGAGGAGAATGCTAAACTGTGCAATGATTTATTCCTCAATTACGATTTAAGGACCGGATAGTCTTCATAAAGCAATGATTGGTGAGGTTTTCATGCAATAGCTTTGCAGCTAATGGTTTCTGACAATGGCAGTTTGCAGAAAGGGACAACTAGATCAAGTAAAAGAAATATGGGAGAACAGCACTATGAGTACTCAAGTTAGGCTGATGGCCAGGATTATACTAAGGTAAAAGCTGAAAAATGGTAGTGAAAGAATAACTAACTCCTATCCCCTAAATATGTGTATGCTCAATGGTCATTTGGGCAAGATGCCACAGCCCACCTCTTATACTTCATCAATATCTCCAAGCACCTGGAAAGTCTTTTCTCCTACCTGGCTCAGAAACTCCAGGTGGAATAGAGCCAGCAGCCTTGTCTTGTGGTCTCTGCAGTGTGATGAGGAAATCTTTGGCTTGTGGAAAGGCTGTTAGGAGCCAATCCAACTTGGAGCAGGTAAAGAGTTTTCTACTCGGTGCTCAAGAATGCACTGCTTCTGGGACTGGAGCCCCAGTAAAATTGACATAAAACTGCCTATATGTTATTCTGGCCAGAAATATAGCCAGTGGAAGCAAGGTACTAGATATGCATGTGAACAGCAAGAGAAGCAGGTATTAAAAATCAGAGTCTGATTTGACATGCTAGGGAAAGGTTTTCTGAAAGGAGCATCCACCAACAAATTACAGATCAGGATGCACAGGGGTCTTATGGGGAAAAAAAAAGGTATGATATTTTGGAAAAACATCTATCTACTTCAGAAATGGGCAAAATTTTACCGTTAAGAAGGAGAGGAGAAGCTCTAGACAGCTGGACCTCTTCCATATGTGTATGTGCTCTCTCTGTAGAGGTAGGCTTGTCCCTTACTTCTGATCTTTCAAATTGCATTAAAATTAGCTCATCTGGGAGAAGAGTTCACAGATATGAAGCACTGTATTATAGTCCATATTTTCTGGGGGTTTGATCTTGACACCTTGATCTTGTTTTAATTTCTTATTATAACCTTGACACCTAAGAGACCTTACCATGCCTTCAGTATTCATAAAACTGTATTAGCTTAGCACCAACAATCCTTTTCATGTTAGGCAATATAACATATATAATTAAACTGGTTCCAAAGATAAAGCTTACTGAATTTGCACATGGAGACTAACACTGTCAGAAAATTACTGCTGATTTAGTAAGTTCTAAATATTTTTCAGTGAGGTTTGGCACCCTGGGCAGTGAGTTCAACCTATTAACTAAAGACCAAGGCTGAAACCTAAATAACAACATAGGCACATCTTATAAATGAGAGTCTCCACACAGCGTTTGGCACATGTTATTCAAAGTGCATTGGTGTTATGCTGTTATATATTTTATATTAATGCTTCTGAATATTTCCCTATTTATATTCCTAGAAGATGGAAAAAGGGATATCTTGATTAGTTATTTGGGTTTTCACATATGGAAAGTTGAGATACAAAAATGTAGGCATCAGAATAAAAATCTACATCAGAATAAAAAGCTACAGGGTAGCTTTTATTTTTATTTTTATTTTTTTCTTAATAAAACCCCAATTTGTTACCCAAGCAGACAAGACATAAGTGAGGATTATACTTTCCAAAGTCCTGGGCGAGGAATCAGCCCCCTGACCTCTACATGGGAAGTGGACCAACGAAAGTGTGAAAGGACATCTTTCACTTTCCGAAGTCCTGGGCGAGGAATCAACCCCCTGACCTCTACATGGGATGTGGACCAACGAAAGTGTGAAAGGACATCTTTAATGCTTCAGTACTAAATTCTGGTGCCATGATAAACTATTATCATCTCCAGTTCTTTGCCCAATAGCAAGGCATGTAGAGGTGACCATGAGCTGTCTTAACTGCTGCAGTTCCCAGGCTGACACATTGACTGAAACCATCACCAAAAGAAACGGTTGCAGAGTCAAAAGATGTAGCTGAGGACTGTGAATGTGTTTATTCTGCCGCCTCTGCAGGACAGGAGTTGAGATCAATCACATCTTAAACCATGAAAACTGGGGCATATGTAGCTCGGGAGCCTAAGTTCCTAGCAACTCAAATGTACTGATTTAGCTGTGCATTGCAGTAAAAGGCAAAGCCAGGAATCTTAGAACAATACCTTAAAGGTACTCTGTGACCACATGGGAAATGATTTGTTAATTACACAAATGTGCAGAAAGAGAAGAGCAACTGATGAATTGCAGAAATCAGTTTCATCCTTATGTTAGCTCTAGTGTTTTAAGTTTCACTAAATAAATGCTGGATCTTACTCTGTGACCACATGGGAAATGATTTCTTAATTACACTAATGTGCAGGAAGAGAGGAGCAACTGATGAATTGCAGAAATCAGTTCCATCCTTATGTTAGCTCTAGCGTTTTGTTTTAAGTTTCACTAAATAAATGCTGGATCTGTGTGTTGTAAATATTTTGTTCCAAATATGTCATGTTTAGCAAGCTTTCCATAATGTAAGGCACAATTACAAGTGGATCCTTCTGGCTTTGTTGGCAAGTTCCCCTTCATCCAGAGCTGTTCGTTGAGCTCAGCATTCTTGAACCAGCTCACCTGAACCTGAAGCACTGAGTGGCTCATTCTGGAGACTTGGGCTGTAAATGGACTGGAAGCTAAAGTCCACACCTTCCTAGGAACAAGCAGTTGAGGGAAGACCACAAACCCAGCAATGAGAGAGAGGAGAAAATGGCAGCCACGGATCCTATTCATAATATTACTGCCTGAACCCTTAACTCATCCTCATTTGCTTTCTCCAAGATGCAAGTGTAAGAGTGACTATGGAAATGGTTAGATTTGGAGTAAGAAAGAAAAAGAGAAATACAGGGCACAGAAAGTTAGGAGGAAAACTGTACATAATCCCTGATGATTTGCATTTATAATGCTAAAAACAACCAGATAAAAATTGTGTCCTCCTACCTTCAGTCTGAATTACAGCCTTATCAATTATAGCCAAACCCAAGATCCTTCAGCAGCAAAATCGATGTCAGCGCACGCTAAATTGTGTTCTGCCTTGTGCTCACAACTGTCAGACTACTGCTGTAATTACTGATGGCTGTAACTTTATTGCAAGCAACAATGCAAGAAAGCAGTTTGATGGCAACAAGCAATTACTGCTTGAAAATATTTCGTCCAAGAGATGAATGGTTGCTTTTCTTGGGGTGGGGACAGGATCCAGTGTTACGAGACATCCCAGCCTCAGTCCGAATCAGCATGCTGCAGAAAAAGCCAACCAAGCCCTTATGGGGATCCATCAAGACCAGTCACCAAGCATCACCCCTGCCCTTGGTCCCATGGGTGGTTTGTATGAGCTGTAGCAGTGTGTTGTCCCAGACAGTGCCCAGAGCCAAGACAGCAGCAGCTCTCAGCACTGTTCTCTACAGCTCTGGCTGACAGTACGAGCAATGCCTTCAGGACAAGGGAAACAGTTGTCCTTGTTTCTCAGTGAGCAATCCAGATTGGTACTAGCCAAATGGCATACAGTATCAGTGTTGTCAGAGCTCTTTGAAATGGCTGCTGTGTCACTTAGAGGTCAGGTACCCTTTTTTCAGTCCTTTCCATTCAAGGGGTGTTTGGATAATCCAGCTTTTATCTGGCACCTTCAGACAAGTAGACATGATGCTGCTATTCTGGGTTTACTGCACCTTATTTGGTGAAAGCATTTTTGTAACTATAGTGAAAACTGATTTCTAATGTTTAGCCTTATCCTTGAATGACAAAAAAAACCCCAAACATTTCAAGAGCTGTAAAATATTTCAGCTCTTATTTCCATGGGAATCCAATTAAGAAAATCAAATAGCCAGCATATTTGGACTACACAGAGGATGAAAAAATGTCAATACAGCCTGAAGAGAATCCAGGTGTGAGTGAAATTAATATCACCTGATTTCCTTGCAGTCCCAGAGGTTGCTAGACAAAACTTTGTTTCTGCTATTGTTGTATGCTGTCCTTGAATGACAGAGAGAATAACTGCCTCTTTCCTGCCTCAAAAGTGTCCTTAAACAAACACTAGTGATAACTGGACCAAGATGCTCCTACATCCAATGAAAAAATTTTGAGATGCTTAGCAAAACTTAGTCTAGTTTTTCCAAGGCATCAATTTTGAATGCAGAAGGCCATGTCTTCAAAGCCAAGTAAGTTTTTGGTGAACCAAAAAGCTATTTCCATCAAACTGCTGAAAAAATTATATAATTTAGGTTTAGTCTTCAGTGTTAAGAAAATCCCTTCATTTGTATTTAAACATGCCTGGCATCTATTTATCTTCCCTCCACTGTGAATAAAATGCAAAGAAGGGCTTGGACTTAAGCCCATGTGTTTCTCTTTCTGTAACTGAGCATGTGGCTCAGCCATCCTGGCCATACTAATGTGTGAAGGGGTGCTGTAATGTACTGATGTTGCTAACACAATGCATGGGGAAGAAGGGGAGCTACAATAGATTGGAAAGCACACCTTGATACTAAACCAAGAGGAAAAAAATTACTTGGGTTGTGTTGGGATGGTGTAGACAAATTTGGAGAAAAGGAAGAGAATTACTATTTTTTGATAGTATACATAAGCTATGAAACTAGAATTTGTGAGGAAATAAAATATGGATGGCTAAATATTCCCTTTCTCACCCCAGCTTCACTTCTAGATGGAGACATTTTCCAGGAACTGATTTAATCAAGAGAAACTCTTCCTCCTTTTTGTCTTTCTCACTACATTTGGACTTCCTGTACCATTCTGTAATTCAGAACTCCAATGCCTTTTTCTGCTCTGAGAATAACTTTGTCTTCCTACAGGTACTGCATCCCTTCTGTCTTCTCCCCCCCTCCATCTGAATTCTGATTTTTCACAGGTGATTGAAAAAAGACATTAATCTCTCTTCCTTTCTGTGAGCAACATTACACGTTTTATATCGTGAAGTTTGTGGCACAAAACTGATGCTGGTCAGTGAGCATAAGAAAGATGAAGCAATGTTTTGCTGTGTGAGCCAAGAAAGGATTCCAAACATGTTTTTATCCAAGTTCAGATCTCTGGCAAACAGTACAGCTCCACATTGAAAGCCTTCCCAGGCTGGTGGCTAATATATTTACAGACTCATCTGAAGGTGATCATGCAAGGAAGACTTACTCCAATGAGCTTTTTAAATGGGTAGCCTTGTGGAGCTGTTATTACCTAAGACAGAGCTTTATCAAGCAGTAAGGAGACATAGACTGTTTCAGTATCAGATGTAGGGACATTTCAAGGAGGTTGGTGTATGCTTTATTAAACTGAAGGAAATTTCCTTGCCAGAATACAAAGTACATCTCCTTCTCCTTACTTTTAATTCACATGTACTACTAAATCCTATGTTGTAAACCGACTGAGAGGCAGTTTTTTAACAAGCTGCAACAGTTGGGACTATAAATGTGACCATTAAAAATACAGCTTAATATACTGTATGAATAAGATGGGAATACACTTTTTAAAATCTGTTTTTGATATGAATCTAAATAAGACAAGATCCAGCCATCACGTGAATAGTAGTTGAGGGGACTACACAGCCGTGAAGCTATTGTGATGGATGCCCTGTTATCAGGAGTGAACATTATATCAGCTGTGCTCATGGAGGCCAAGGTGGGGTTCAACTGATAAACAGTGCCTGCTGACTTTGTGCCTGGCTGAGGAACAAGGGTTAGATCTCCTGAGGAACATTGTTTGGCATTCAATTTGAGGAGTTGTTTTGTGTGTATATTGACTTTGGTCCTTATAAAGGCATAAAATTCATGTCTAAAGCCAGATGAATGGTTTGCAAAATGTAGCAGCTCATGTAATACAAACAAAGCAGTTGGCTTGACTAAAAAGACAACTACTTTCCTTTAAAACAATCATAGCTGAGTAGAAAATCATTGACTCATCTTACAGGAGTTTTCAAGGTGCCACCCCACCCTGGTTTTCCATCTTGAGGGCAAAGTAAGACTTTCAGAGGGTAAATTCCTGCACAAGATGAGACTGATGCCTTGCCTGAGACATGCACGTCTGCATGTCCTCAAAGCACAGAGCCCAAAGGCCAACTTGGCCTGTATACGGTGCTTGCAGGGTAATTACCCAAACTTCACCAGGTTAATGGGCAGTTCCCATTAGTGGTGTTTCAGAAGTGGATCTTCTGTTGGTCTGATGAGGCACTTGGAGCAAGTTCCCTCCTAACTGACTTGTAGCAGCTCTTTTTCCAAGTGATCTAGGTTGGGTAAAATCTCAGGTGCTTACTGAAACAGAAATATGAGTTGGAATCTGCCACATCTCAAAAAAGAGCCCAAGTGGTTGAAGAGTTGATGATTTGCAAGTAGTTGACCTTCATAAACTGACCAGCCTGGTGCTGTGGCCTTGTCCTTGCAATGTGGGCTTTAGAGGCTTCTGGATGATAGTCTGCTTGGGATGTGAACCTGTATGAGCTCACTTCACACCCTCAGTACTCTGCTTTGGGGGACACGTGGGGCTGGGTCTCTTTTTATCCTCTTCTGCGTTCTCCTGGCACAAGAAAACTTTGTGTGATATGAGAAGGCTTTGCTGGCTGATTGCTAAGTGTGCTGGGAGGCAGGGCTGGGGGAGCACCTACAAATCCATGTTATTGCTGTTTCAGTTCTTGCAGTTAGTTTTTTTCTCAGGGAAAGCTTCATGTTTGACATTTTCTGAAAAATACCCCAGCAGTTTCATGGCTGAATGATATTTTTGCAGTAGTTAAGTGACCTAGCTCATATATTACAGCAATGCAGTGTTCCTTACCAGGAAAGGAGTAATTTATATACACAAATCTTTCTATAGGCCAAGCCTTGCATGACATTGTTCCACTTACATAAATTCATCCAGAAAACTTACTCCTTTTGCCTTCCCTCTCTTTCACCCTAAAAATTTCTCCCCTCATCAACAGAAATTACATGACAAACAAGCCTGTGAGCTCTTCTGGAAAAACCCTGTCTCATCTTCTCTTGTCCATACAGAGCCTGGCACAATGACAACCTGATCCTTGAGGTGTTTTGAAGTAGTTTGAGTTCTGAGAGTTTGAATTCTTGAATTCTGTTTATTAGACACAAAGAAGAGAGGCTGTGGATACAAGTGTTGGAGTCATTTATCTCTAAAGCAGCCAAATTGGTATTCTGCAAGAGCATAGAGATCTACACAAGGAGAACATGAACCCCGCAGTCTAGCAGACTCTGGTGACCAAAGGACTAATGGAGCACTTATGCGTTTAGCAGCAGTAACTACAGCAACTAGTTCATAACTTTTTCAGATTAAAAGAAGAAAATATTGTGTGATTCTTCTGTACCTGCATGAGAGGAAAATAAAACTATGAAAATTGAGCTCTCTCAATAATTTCTCTGTCAAGGACTTAATATCCTTACCTGTTTGGGACAGGACAAGATCTGCATCACCAGTTAGATGTTAGGACAGGGTTGAATGCAAAACCAGAACTATTATTTTATTTCTAGATCTAGTAATTCAGGTCTTTAGAAAGCAGCTGAATTGCACCATTGATTCCTGGATCAGATTGAGAAGAGGGAACAAATACCAGCCACAGTTCAAATGTCAGCTCTGTCCCTGGGTTCAATCTGACTGAAACAGTCCTCATACTCACTCATGTCTGACATTTGTTTCTTCAGCTCAGCATATGAGTGTTTTCATTGACAACATAAGCACAGCCACAACTCATTTACCTGTGAGGTCGTCATTGGGCCAGGAGCCGAGCTGGCAGGCTTTGCATGTGTATTCATCATATACATATTCATTCTCTTTACAAGGAGTGCAGGTCCAACAGCAACTCACTTCTCCTTTACGGATCACCTGAGACAAAAATTGACGTTTGATTTAATAATATCAATGTGCATTCATGCTGCCCAAGTTGCTAATTTAATTTTTTTAATGGCCTTTTTTTTTTACTAAAGGTTTTTTAGAAGTTTATTTTAGAGGAAGTTTCTTTTGATGGTACTTTTGCTTATACAAATGACACAAGTTCTCAGTTCTCCCATCATGTATGTACCAGAAGAAACCATCAACACCACAGAAATATAAGTGGAGGTAAAGAATGGCAATAAGATGCTTTTTCCCCTCTTAGAATTAGCAAAACTCAAAATTTCATAGATGGCAATGTGCCTACAGAAGTCAGTGTGTGATATGCAAGGGATATAGTCCATACCAGGAATAATGTCAGCAGTATTATTTCCCTAAGGGCTCATTACCCTAAGTTTTTTTGGTGTTTATTTTTCACCCAGATGTAATTTGTTAAAACTGATTTTTTCCAGACATAAAATTGTACATGCTTTTTCCAGAATTATTTAATTACTGCAATTCTAATTAACATTTAAGAGTGAAAGTTATCTTTACCCATTTTAACATTTGACCTGATTTCTCATTTTATAATTTACTGCCAAATGTTATTGCGTGCTCGTAACTGAGATGCAGATTTTTCAAGATCCTTATTTACCATCTCTGGGCACTGAAAACATCTGTGCTTCTTGTCAATACGTCTTTCTTTTGAAATAAAGTGTCCCCAGTTTCTCTGCTCTTTCCAAATATTTTCTAAACGAATACTCCCAATTAGAGCATAAGTAGGTTGACTTATGTATCTTTTGCAATGATGAATTTAGCAGGTGGCTTCAAAACCAATGTATTCCTTTATCGAACTTTTAATAAATGCAAAGGAGTGTAATCAAAAATAACTAGATTGCTCTTTACAACACTGCAGTGAAAAAAAAGTAAATTGTATCATTTTCATCAGCAATATGGAGACTTTAAAACTTCAATTTTTTGTTTTGTTTTTAGAATTGTAAAGTATGAAAGAAAAAAGAGCTACACTGAAACATCTAAACTGGCAGAGAGGCCATGGGAGTATAAGTAATCTGCTCTGCAAGTGTTGAGACTAGAGCTACTTGCAAAACAGGGTATCTGTCCTACAGAAGAATTCACATATTGGGATTTCTTTCATTTTGAACTAGAATAAAAAGTTGAACAAACAACAAAATTTCTTGTGTCTGGGAAAATCAATTCTTAGAAAGATCATACTAACTTTTAGACACATATTTTGGTAAACATGGTGCATTATAAAAATCCACAGTGTTACAATGTATAAAGTATTCAAGAAAATGAAATGGCAAAATAGAAGCCATATGTTATTATTAAATACCTAAACATTCTATCAGAACAACATGTTTACATTTTACTGTTAAACTTTTCACTAAATTAGGGTCTTTTATAAAATACTTGGAATTTGACAAATCTGTCAGAAAACTGATATACTGATAATTTCTTACCCAGCACTAACTAGGGGTTAAGCCAGAGAATTATTATGTAGCCTTCTATGGAATGAAAATACTCTCCACTACTCAGTATCAGGTCAAACTTTTTTGTATGAAATTGCTCAGTGACCTATTTCTTCATCCTTTTATTTTTCATTTCTTGAGTAGTTGTTTATTGTAGCACTTAACTAAAACCAATCTCTTCTGATCCTTGTTACAAAAATAATTCTCTTTAAATAAGAACTTATATTCCCTTCCTCTTGTCATCTGGGCAACCCTTTGAACCTGTATATATTTAAATAAACATGTGTCCACACTATTTCAAATGTATGGAGTTGTTTGCATTTGGATTTTATCAAGTCCTTGTTGGTGAGTTGCATCTTAAAGCATTTTCAAAGCCTACATGAGGATGAGATGACTCCTGATCTGGAATAATAAATTATTTTCATTGACAATAAAAAAGTTCAGAAATGTCATATAACTACATATGCCTACATTCAAGACATATACTTTTGGTCTGATGAAACTCACTTACTGATTCTGCCAAAGACCAATTAGTGAATAAAACATGGTGGCTGTGTCCCAAAACTCTGGAAAACTCAGTCTGAAAAGTTTTTGTGCTGCAAAACATTATCAGCCTCCCATCAGACCTTCATTGTAGCTGCTTGCCAGTTTTACAGGAGTGCCATGTTAACATAGGAGCAAATGACATGTTAACACAGGAGAAAAGTGATCCAGCTTCTAGTGAAACATGTCAGAAATTGCACTTGGTTTTTTTCAGCCTGAGCCACTCTGTTGCCCATGCTCATCCCCTCATCCCACAGGCTTTTATATAAATGACTGCAAAGTAAGCTAAAGTCTTGCAGTATTTTGTTTTGCAGTACCATGCTGAAGGATAATAGACTACAGTTAATATATGACAGATTCATTTACCCTCCTTACTGCAACAAGAAAGAGAGGAAGGAAAAATCAAGAACCTGGGAAATAAAAGAAGCAGTAAAACAAATATGATTAAAAAAAAATGTTACCTACATTTCCTGAAGTTCTATGCAGTGGTAGTTATTGATGTTCTCTGATGATACCACAGATTTAAGATCTGAATAATAATGTTCCAGTCTAGGTGTCTATGTCTAGCACTGCAATAATAGCAATTATTATTATAATTTAGCTGCAATTGTACTGACAAGTCCCACTCAGGGATTTGCAATCCACCGACTCAGATGCTGTAAAAATATGCAGCAAAAAACCAACAAACAATACCTGTTCTAAAGCATTTGGAATACAAGTAAAAAAGTCAGTAATTCACAGATATAAGAGTACAAGAAAACGGCAACTTGTGATAATAGTGAGATGGCTGTGATACGAGTAAGTGCTAAGTACATAAGTCTTTACATTTTAGTTAAGGTGTGGGATACTCTCTCCATGAAAGAGTTAGGAAGAACTTGCATTCTACACAACTGAAGTAAAAGGAGAAAATATTTACCTTTATCTGGCCTTTTTCACAGGGCTCACTGCACACAGATCTGATGATGTTATTTTTCTCCGACCATATTTCATCATCGTCCATTTTCAGCTCACCATTGTCCCAGCTTCCAACATTGATATAATCAAAGTAGTCCTTCCCCATTTTCTTAAAATTCATAATTTCATACCTTTGGAAACAGAAAGAGGAGACATAGCTGAAGGGAACATCACGAAATGTTTCAAATTAAAGGAATGCTATACAGTCAATATCAAGCTTGTTGAAACAAAGAAGGCAAAATTTCATTATGCTTGCCCTTGAGTCTGTCCCAATAATTTTTATGATACCATAATATTTCTTTTTCTTTGTATTTTGATTTATTTTTCTTCTATTAGAACATTTTGGGGTTCAGTGACTGAACTTCTGAGAATGACTGTGTTTATTTAAGGAAATACAATGAAATGAGGCAGACAGGATTCATCCCATGTAACTTGCAGCACTGAAGCCAACTGCATAGGGAAGCCTAGCTGTCTGAGGATCCCTCTATAGAAAATGCAGAGAAATTTAAACCTATAAAGGCAATTCCCAATGCTGAGTGCTCCTCACTGTGCAGGTGCTTATTCCCCTTCTGAGAGAGGAAGCCTGAAGATAAAGTGAAATTGAAGCAACCTAGGCTGGTGGGATCAAAAGAAACTTCCCATGCTGTTAGAACACAAGATGCAATTTGGTGTGGCACCAGAAAAGAGTCAGGCATCATTTGTCAGCCACAGCCTCCAGGAATCTGGGACTTGCTGGAAGCGTCAGGGAGACCTTCTTATCAAAAGGAACCTTGTTGTCCTGACATTTGAAGAATAAAGTTGAGCTTTGCCTTTTTTTCCCCTTTTTCCTCCACAGCATTGCAGCAGCAAATGCTATTGTCTCCCATCCACACAACCCGCTTCATGTTTATATGATTCCTCAGTGATCCAAACACATTTAATTCCTTGTACAATATGGTATGGAAGAGAAAGAGTATTCATGCCTCAGTCCTGGGCTGCTTTTGGGTCAGATCACCTCTTTGTCTGGGAACAGAAGTGTTAGGAGCAGACCTAGAGCTGATCAGAGTTTTTAGGTTCATGTTCCTCTTCCTCCTACTCTCTATTTAGCTCCCACAGAGTCTTACAGGCAGTTCATGGAGCAGTGTAGGACTTGCTAGCCTCCTACAGGCATGCTGAACACCAGGCCACCTTTCTTCCTTACAGGCCAGTTCATTTAGAACTTACTTGTAAAGCATGCTTGGAAAGTTGGGCAATCCCTGAAGTGATGATGTCATGCTTTTCTTTACCTACTTTTTAATGGATTTTGCAATAATTTGATTAAGCAACATGAAATTCATCAATGGAAAAAAAGCAATCAGTAAAGACTGAAAAGATTAACACTCATTGGTTTAGAAAACCTGCCTGATTCATAAATGAGGAGACAGCTTTTTCCTGGCAGCAGGCACAAAATTAGTCCCCAAGGCAAAACATATGGACAGGACTGGATTAAGAATGATATTGTCAGAGTGTAATTAGTGAAGTCCGAAGTAGAGATAAGTAAAAGAACCAGCTCATTAAATCAAGCAGTTTCTTAAATAAAGACACCCAAGTATCTCTCTTAAGGTTTGAAGAAACACTTTCAAGACTGACAAATTGTAGCCATACTATATATAGCACCAATATTCTTCCCGTGCTGACATAAAATATTTACAATAAGACTATTCTATAATATTCTCCATCTATGGATCTCAGGATGCTTTGCATCAGGAAACAAACTCTTAACTGCCACAATGGGGAAACTGTGGCAGGGATTGAATGTCAAAATCACACAGACGTCTGGATCAGGACTGCAAGCAACCTGTGAAAGAAAATGAAATGGAGTGTGACTGAATGGGCAATATGATACTATTGATATCATATGATTCTTGAGTCTTTCCAAAAGAAGAAGAAATGATCAATAATAATTTGTGATACTCTTGGAGTTTGGAATATTTCACTTTCCATCCTGTACAAAGAAGGAAATGACCACAGCTTTGAGAATGGCCAGATCAGAGTTGGAGATGCGAATGCCAGACTGACACAAACGAGTTCAATACATGTAATACAAAAATACGAATAAATAGACTTTTACACATGGTTGTAAACCAAGGGTTTTTGTCTGAGGTTCACAGGCATAGTAACAGTTTCTTCAAGGATTAAGCAGACTAACCAAAAAGTTAGCCCAGAAGCCACTGTGGAGTCTATTCAACATTGTCATGACATTGTAACACTCCTCTGAGTATTGCTTTGTTACAGCTATCAATTCATAGATTCATGGGCAGATGAATGAAAGTACTGCCAATGCTTAACAGGCCACAGGACCTAAAACAATTATGCCTTCAGTAGTAGTTCCATGCATACATCCCAAGGGGAATGCTGGAAAGAAACCTAACAAATTAAATAACCTATTGTCTCAATAAGTTTATTGTCACTTCTCTGTGTAGAACAGCGTCAGTGGAATAATGGTAGTAGCCAGACTCAGTAAGTCCATTTCTGTAGTGGAAATTCATGAGTTACTGGATTCCTGCAGCTTCCTTGAGGTATCACAGGGGCAGTTTGTCACTTTTGGATAGGAGAGCCCAGATGGTGCAATAACACATTTCCAGCAGTGCCCTAGTCACAGTGTAAAACACTTGTTTCAAAACAAAAGTGCCACGAAGTCGCTGAGAAACCATATACTATTGGTAGCGCAGCCAAAACGTCAGCATTTTGTTTTTCTTTCCTTCTCTCCCTTTCTTAATTCCTTCCTTGGAGTTTCGATAGTGTTTACAGATAGTTGTTAATCTTCCTGAGAAATCATGGCTGTCTCTTCAATAGTCATTTAGTTTTTTCATGTCTTCTGTCTCACCTGTAACAAGCCCTTCTCTGAACTGTCTATCTGCTTAAAGATCAACATACACATAAAGCACTTCAGAATAGGGCCAGGATTCAAAGCATCTTGTGGGATTAATCATCTGTTGTATAATATCAAACCCCTTTTGCTATACATCAAAATCCTGAGCTATCTAGGTCAGAAAGGCTTTTTATGTTCTGATTTCCTGCTTAACACTACCACCACAGTACAGCTGCAAGGGTTTAAATTTCTGCTTTACAAAGTGAAGATGCAGCTATCAACACAAGACAACAGGGTAGATGAGTTGTTCCAGTATGATTGCACCATCTCCCAGCTGTCGTGAATAGTGTTTGAAAGTGTTCAAAAGACTATGAACTACTCAAAACCTGGGCATTAGAGATGGAGCGTCCCATAAAGGCTTAATATAAAAAACTAAATTTAATTTCAGTGTTGGCTAATTTAAGCACATAGACTGGATTTAATGATGTGACTATTACAGAAGAGGGAACAAACAGCTGTTTCAAAAGCAAACACACAAGGACCATTTTGTCACCACACACAATTTAAGTAGACAAAGCACTACTGTATCTCACACAACTCCAGTAAGGCTGGACTTTCTTAAAGTTGAGTTACCCCAAAGTGGTCAATCAGCATGATGTCTCCATGCTCTTCAGTGAAAGGCTGTTGTCCTACTGTGACTGAGTAAATGACTCCACATGATATAGTTCCTTCATCATCATTCTTAGGATTGAATTTAAAAAGGCCCAAGACATTCAATTAAATTCCTTGCAACAAATGGAATTAAATCATGATTGTTAAGCATGCCAACATGAAGAAAAGGTAAAGCTAAAGATTTATTTACAACATTGAGATATTCCCATTGGTTTTGTCGTGCCATATACCATTTATTTGTGGCAGTTTTCAATCTTTCTTCAAGAAATGAGTGAAACAGATAGGAATGAGGTAGGATGCAGCCCACTGAATCTAAGTACCATTAAAATCAAATAGGAATCCTTTAAGGGAAGTCTGGAACAAGTCTTTTTAAAAATAATTTGGTCAGAAAAATCCCGACTGAGCAGTTTTCTTCAGAATTCAGCTATTTGTAAAAATAGAAATGTTTAGCGGAAGTCAGCCTTGTTCACCAAAACAGTGCTGAAAATAAATTTCCATCTGAAATTTTCCTGGGTTTCTGCCAGTTTGTGTCTGAATTCTCCTACCAGCCCACAGTGCATTTCCTTAGAGTCTGAGTCTGAAGAGTTTGAGAAGTTATGTCTTCAGAGACACAGACTGCTTTGTACATGGCTGTCCTGTTTGCTTTTGGGGAGAATGTTGACTTTACAGGTTTTCAAATAAATGAAATAAATAAATCAGTTTTGAAATAGCAAGAAGTTTGGAAACATCAAAATATTCTAACCAGTGGATTTGCCTTTTCCTCGGAAGTTAATATTTTCCTTTCAGTTCACATTAGTGGGAGAAGACAAAATATAAATGACTGTACAGGATGAATAATTTTCCCTCTAGTCATCTGTTGACATGGTGCCATCACAAAGATGATTAAAAACTTTCCAACAATGTAGGCAAAAAAACATCCTCTATAAAACTGGAGCAAAAACAGCGAATAAGGCAGTAATCTACTCATTGAAATATAGGGAAAAAATATAGTTAGAATTCTATCACACTTGCTGTTCATTTTCTGAGAGTTCAATAGGCAGAAACCCAGAAAAAAGCTTATTACTCTTTTTAATGTACGTTTATATGGATGCTGCGTATATATCATAGAAAAAGAAAAAGCTTATATTTCATATGTATGTATATACATGTATGTAAGGTATCAGCAAAAGAAGCTTTGTTTAAATTCAATTTGGATTATAGCAGCACAGTATGAATTTAATAGCAGTCTGCTATGCAAGTGGAAATGCTTTATTTGGAAGACACGGAAACAGATTTTCAGTAATTCTGGTGGCAAAAAAATCCCAGATAAATCAATACAATATTTCTGATTTTGTCTTATCTTTCTTAACAAAAGAACAATGTCTGTTATGATTACTTATTGCTCAAACACATATATTTGAGCAACCAAAGAGAGGGACAGAGAACAATGCTGTGGTGGCTGTCATGGTCTAGGAACGTGAAGTAGAAAGCCTAATGGTTTGTAGTGTGAAGTAATACCTATAAATGGTACAGCTGAAAATGCAAATTCATGCAGAAAGATTGTATAGCTCAAAGTTCAAATCTTTAGCATGCAACACCATTAAAAAAAGTTATTTTGGAAGAATAAGTACAGAAAATCAGGAAATGTGAAAATAAAAGCATGAGATCTTAGCTCGGATGTCAAGTCTCTGTGCATCTACTATGTACAGTTAACATATCTGGTATTAAACAGTTTGACAAATGTCAACGTTACCTTCCTGGTGAGTCACCATTCTCATCAAACAAGATCATGTCCCCAGAGACCCCGGTAAAGTTAGTCTTCATGAGGGATTCCAGGAGCTTCCGACCATCGATGGGCTTCATGGCATCACAGAGGCCCACGTAGCCTGGACACAGTGACATCTGCATGTTGTGGAGCCCGTAAGCCATTGAGTATATTGCATTGATTACAAAGCCCATCTTGGAGTCCTGAACGTGCTGTGTCCTCAGAGTCATCTGGCCTGTGAACAACATCACAAACTGGGTGGTTAGTACATGGGACTGAAATACGACCACCTCTTCAGACATTTGTTGGTGGGTTGGTTATTAATGGTGGAAAAAGTCCTGTTAAGTGTCTTAAGAAGCTCACAGTAGATGCTTTTACTGGTACACACAATGACCATGCTAAAAACCAGAAAGAAATGAATGAAAGAAGAGGTTCCCCTTCAATATTTTGCTATCCTTCTTATGCCTTTCTCTGTGCGACTCCACACCAGTTGTTTTTCAACTACTGTTCCATGTGTTTTTTTAAAGCACACATCATGAACATTATAAAATATTTTGGGGAATCCAGGAATTTCTCCCTGCCTGCAAAAATTTCTTCAAATTCTTAGAAATCTTTTGCTGAAGTGTAAATGCTAACATAGGGGCTATTCTGTAGTGACCTTGCAGACAACACTTTTGTTTCAGAGACATGATAAGCAATCTCATGCAAACAAACACAATTGATTTACTGTACCAAAAGTTCCTGTGCTAACAGCTCACCTACTTCTGTATTTCTTACTCCTCTGTATTTATGAAGTGAAGATAATGGTGCAGTGCAGATGAATGCATTAAAATGTCTGTGAAGGGTTTAATGATGTGGCTTAGGCAATCACTAACTGGAATTGGTAAACCTTACTTTGGCTTTTAAAAGGTAATGTCTGGATTTCTATTTTCTATTTAAGCTTCTGTGAAATGCACAACAAAAATTCACCCTGAAGGCCTTTTTTTTTATAACCCAGTGTTACTAATGACACAGATTCACTCTGTTGGCAGCACCAGTCCAGCTGAGGAAGAGAATGCTGGAGGTTTTCTGCCTCATATGTCATCAGCAAAGCTGCCAGCTGCACTCCAGCCACCAGATCTTTAATACCAGGGAAGTGGGAAGGGTCAGAGATAAAGGAACTGCATCAATGGTGCTGGGAATTTTTCAGGCACCTGGAAAAATTTGGCTCTGGAGGAAGGACAAACAAAGAGCTCTACTAGAACATTTACTATCTTTTTATCAGTCAAGCAGCAATCCCTAGGAGTTAGAGGGGAGGATGGAGCTTACAGCTGCCCATCTGAGCTGCAGGAGCAGCACAATGTAGGAGGTAATTTATGCCATGAAAAGACTGATGTACGGACAATATTTACCTTGAAAGAAATGAAGTCTAATATATGACTCTGAGGATGGCACTTGTCTAGTTTAACAATGTCTATACAGAAGGCAAGCATCCAGTCTGATATCTAGGCACTTCTCGTGGAGATGAGTAAGAATCTCCAGCTGGTGGTTAATCCCATCATAAAACAGGTACCTCTACAAGCTCACCTTTTTAGTAATGAACATCACTACACAGTTCTAATCACTAAAACACTTTGCAATACTAAAAACATGAGAAAGGGTAGCAAAGATACATAGTTTGAACTGAAAATCATTGTGTAGAGGTCAGTAAGTGAATAAGGGAACTCAGAGTTCCCTTTTCTCCTTGTTTCATGCAAGAGCTGGCACTCTGAGTTCCAGCCAACCTCAGGAGCAGCGATTAACATTTTGGATAGTTAAATGACAGGAGCCTGAAATATCTGTAATGGAAAAAAACACTGGAAACAACACACAGCATTGCTCATTTGTTCTGTTCTACCAAGGTACTGTTTTTTCCTAATTAAAAATAATAGGCATAAAAACTGCAACAGTACAGTACATGTAAAACCTGTATTAATTGAAATTAAGTGGAAAATTGAACAAGCCTACTACATTGCAATACACAAAACTTGCTTTAACCAATTATTCATCCTCGCAATTAACAGCTCACAAACCATGCAGTTAATTATAGTAGCCATTAGAATGAATCAGATTTGCATCAGCAATAGTATTTATTATGAAACAATATTTCACCTTTATTGCATATGATTGCTTAAAAATGTAATAGTTTAATTCTTTCAGGAACACTCTCCACTGGGCTTTGTGCTTCAGTTTTACAGCATTATTATTCTGAGTTCCTTTAAAAATTGAATCTCATTCAGTTCACCTGATCATTTGTAATGAGGCTGCTTAGCTCTTCATAGAAGCTGCTGGCAATTGCCAAAGGAGTTGTGAGGGAATTAGCTGTTATGAGAATTTTAATACACTTCCTGCAGCTGGAGAAAACATTTCCCTGAGATGGTAACTGCCCCACTTTGCTATACAGGGGCAAATCCAAGCTGCCAAGCCTGACTGTCAGTTTGCACTACTTCAAGACTCGTAGTTAAGGGGAACATTTCAAAAACTGAGACAAAGAAAATTTTTACTCTCTAATTTACTGTAATGCAGCCTTTAAAAATGCCAGCATTAAAAAATTTAGTCTGAAAGTGCCTTTCAACCCATTTCACAAAGTACTTAGGTACATTAGACTTGAAGCTTATTTACCTCACTGATCCTATGAGTGGTTTTGAGAGAAGGCTGAACACTCAAGATAAAAAGTAGTCTCTCAGAAAAAAAGCAGTAGAAATATTTTAAATCTATTTCTGCAACAAGTATCATTTAGGTAGCCTTAAACACATTGTGTATTTAAATGTTAGTGCCTGTCCTTGCTCGAACCCAAACACATAGTGTTAAATTTATACACAAGTGCTGTCTTCAGTCAAGAACCTTTCCTGACGCAAGATCATCATGAGATAGAGGGGTAGCATGGATGAATTTAATGATGATCACCCTGGTAATGTTCAATAGAATTGACTTTACAGATTAAACTCTTAATAATGAATAGTGACAAAATCTAATAGAATTTGAAGAGTTCCTACGGAATTACTGGGCAGTGAATAAATATCCACAGACTGTTACCTATACGCTTATTTATAATATTCACAGTAGAACTCTTTTCTATTAGATTAAAAAAAAAAATATTTATATAAGGTCTGTTTTTCTCTGTCTTTACCATTCCCATATGAGAAAAATTTGCAAAGAAGGAAAGCAAAACGTTTTGCTTTATTGTGGGCTGGGAAAAGCCAGCGTGATGCTGTTTAATCTTGGTGTGTAGGGATAAGCAGGACATGTTCAAATGAATTTGTTCATTCAGGTATGGGCTTTCAAAGCCAATCTCCAAATTGTTCCTTCACACTGTCCTTTGGTTTGGACTCGGTGTCACAGTTTGGGAGCAATGTATCAAATTTCTTTTGAAAGACACTAAAAACAGATAAAGTGTCCCAGGAGAGCACCCAATGAAACACAACTGCAAACAGATGTTCAAACTGTAGGACCAGGTTACATCCAGTTTAAAGTAAACCTCCCCTGAGCTGTGAATTTTTTTTTGACCTACAGAGTTTGCAATCAGACTCAGCATCACTCCCAGGATGCTGCAGACAGCAGGAGCTGGGAGTACCAAGGTGACCATGTAAGTGGGTCAGATACAAAGCTGCATTTCATAGGTCTCCAGTCCATTCTTACTGAAATTGTGGCAGGCTTAAGCACCTTTTCTGTGGTAGGATTTAGCAATTTTTTCATGATGTAGCTCATTTTTCCACAAACATTGTTTGCAATAATATCAACTATTTATGAATCTGTGCTGAACTCAGTGATTATGTCCAAATGATTGTAGAAAGTTATCTGTACTCAGTACCTCAGAACCAATAATTATTAACTCTGTGTTATGGCAATTACTGCAGAAATAAAAGAAAAAATTCTGCTTGCTGCAATTAAGATGTACAAGGCAATGGAAGAACGCAGAGTGAATCAAAACATACCTAATGAGGAAAGTGGGACAGTACTTGCAATCATAAATGGTCAAACATTGAATTCTCTGCCAAACGAGGGAATCACAGGCATTAGAACACATGCACAGATCTCTCAATTCTGTTCTGTTTATTCACTTACATTTCTTGTCCAAGTAATTTTGGTAAGTAAGTAAGAGCTTATTCTATTATCTTACAAGCTGTGAGATCAGGAGGCATTCTAGATTTGAAGTCACAGCCATTTCTGTCTACAAAATATACAGACAAATCCTCTTGCTTCTGTGCCAAATCTGATAACATCTATCCATCCATCCTTCAGTTTGCCATCTAATAATACTTCCTTTCTACTACTTTTTATCTATCACCTTTCTTTAGACTAAATATTCCTCAGGAAGAGAATTACTTTTTGTTTTCTTCCTGGTTTTCCTCTGCTTAATACGATGTGGTTGTTATTGGCTGGAATTTTTAAGTGTTATTGCAGTCTCTGAAATGGAAGTAAAATTATCCTGGATTTCATGGGAAGTATAAGTATGTAAATATTTATTCTATAGATCATTTAGGGATCTAAATATACAGGATTCAGGTGAGCCTTTGCAATATGTTTAAATGCATTAAATAGCAGCTTAGGAATTTGCTGCCACTGGAGCAGGTGGTTAATATCCATGTTTTTTCCTACTCAAATATATATTCTGGACATGTCTGGATTTAAATCATAAGACCAATGAATCATAGAATACCAGGTTGAAAGGGACCTCAGGGATCATCTGGTCCAACTTTCCTTGGACTAAACTAGACTAGATGTCCGAGCACCCTGTCCAGCTGAATCTTGCAAGTGTCCAATGTTGGGGGATCCACCACTTCCACGGGGAGATTATTCCAATGGTTGATTGTTGTCAATGTGAAAAATGTTCTTTTTGCATCTGTCCAGAATGTCCCCAGGAGTGACTTGTGCCCATCACCCCTCGTGTTTTCCATGTGACTCCTTATAAAAAGGGAGTCTCTGTCTTCTCAGTAGCTACTACTGGAGCATGATGATAAGGTCTCCCCTGAGCCTTCTTTTCTCAAAGCTGAACAAAGCCAACTCTCTCAGGCTTTCCTTATAAAGCTTTCCAAACCTCTGATCAACCTTGTGGCTTTTCTCTGGACCCTCTCCAGAGGAATGCAGATAGCTTTTATGTGTGTTCCCAGCTTTATTAGAGAGCTGTAACTCTACCAAAGGTGACTAACAGTCTGAGAATGGTATAAATTCAGAGCATCGCAACATGCCCCTTTTCTGCCCATGCTTCTGGGAGTG